CACTGGTGGAGTGCCCATGGTGTGCAGAGCACCAAAGAGAATTAAAAACCAAACAGGAGCAAAGGCTTTGCTTTTAAGGCACTTGCAATACATTGGGCCAGTTGGAACAAGCAAGCAAGATATATACATAATTTATAATACATGACACGAAATAAACAATCACGTACTAGCAAGAACAGCCTGACGCAAAATTGCCAAGTAGGCTCATCTCTATGTTCTCCTAGGTCCCGTTTTCTATTTCTCTTCCTCACTTCCAGGTGCTGCTTCACAAAGTCAACAAATATTTATCAAAGGCCATCTGTGTACAATACCCTAGAGTAAGTGACAGATACTGCCCTCCAGAGCTTTCCAACCAAACAGTACTTTCTGGCTATTGCCCTGGTTCCAGAATCACATCCCCAACCCCCAACCCAGGGGCCTGTTTCTCTCCTCAGAGCCCTTTTCTCAACTAGTTGTAAAGAAACGAGTATTATTTTTTGAAAATGTCACTCTAAAGCATGACTAATGGATTACAATTGACTTTCAAAATTTATTAGCCTAAATGAATGAATCTGTAATAATGGAATCATAGAAGAAAAGACAACTGGATAAGGGGAGATATATTTTGAGAAAAATCTATGTGGTTTCCTTCTCAGACAGCCCTTTTTAGATTTGGATTTGCAAGGCCAGCACTGCGGGGTATTTCTTTCTAGTCCTCAGTGAGACTGAGAAGCTAAGAGTTGGTGCATTCCATTTGGCGGTAAAATCCAAACAGCAAGCCTTCCCAGAGGCACAGTTAACTGAAACTAGAAGAATAATATGCTTTTCTACCTAATAATGGCTTTTTCTATAATATAGAACATTTGTATTTAAAACACAGTGCTTTGCCTGTGAGCAGCCATCTAAGAGACTCCACTGGTCTCACCCCATCTGGAGCAAGGGAGAATGAAGAAAACAAGATACAAGGGAAAGATTAGTCCAAAAGACTAATGGACCACAACTACCATGGCCTCCTTCAGACTGAGTCTAGTACAACTAGATGGTGCCCGGCTACCAACACTGACTGCTCTGACAGGGATCACAACAGAGGGTCCCGGACAGATCTGGAGAAAAATGTAGGACAAAATTCTAACTCACAGCAAAAGACCAGACTTACTGGCCTGACAGAGACTGGAGAAATCCCGAGAGTATGGCCCCCAGACACCCTTTTAGCTCAGTAATGGAGTCACTCCTGAGGTTCACTGTTCAGCCAAAGATTAGACAGCCTCATAAAACAGAAGAAGACTAATGGGGCACAACAGTCCAGGGACAAGGACTAGAAGGCAGGAAGGGACAGGAAAGCTGGGAATAGGGAACCCAAGGTTGAGAAGGGTAAGTATTGACTATCGTGAGGTTGTTAACCAATGTCATAAAATAATATGCGTACTAACTGTTTAATGAGAAACTATTTGTTCTGTAAACCTTCATCTAAAGTACAATAAAAAAATTAAAATTAAAAATACAGTGCTTTGATTAGTAGTATCATAACGATTATCTATAGGTAAGACACAACTTAGAGCAAGAATAAACAAATAAATAGAAATCTTTAAATGTGATCCTAGACTTCTCTGATTAACCAACAACTTAATCAACAACTACTTCTTGTTGTTATCTGTCACTGAGTAGGCCTCCGATGCATGATGACCCCATGTCCAGTGGAACAAAAAGGTCCTGCACATCCTCATAATTGGCTACAGATCAGACTATTGTGATCCATAGGGTTTCATTGGCTGATTTTCCTAAGTAGGTCATTAGGCCTTTCTTTCTAGTCTGTCTTAGTCTGGAAGCTCCGCTGAAATCTGTTCAGCATCATAGCACATGAAAGCTTCCACTGGTAGATGGGTGGTGGCTGCACTTGAGGTGCATTGGCTGGGAATTGAAAGCCGGGCTCTTGTATGGAGGGCAAGAATTCTACTACTAAGCCACCACTGCCAAATCCAGTGCTCAAGCGTGAAATGAATAAACTCACCCAGAATGTAAGGTCTGACTACTGTGGGCTCTATCTGGTTTCACACAGATTGTTTCAGACCAGACCTTTTCTTCTGAGAAAGCTTTGGTCCCTATCAGCCCAGATCTCTCTACCTGATTACCTCTTACCAGCAAAAAAGCCGTTTGTCCTCCTAAGATTCTTGCCTTTAGTCTTTGACTCTCCATCTGGAGGCATGAGTAGAAAGAAAACAAAATTATATACCTGCAGCCTTATGCCATGGAGAGACATTGTTTCTCTTTTAGAAAAGTTTTCCCACTCTGACTCCAGCTTCTTTCATATTAGAGTTTTTAAAGGGTGTTCTATCTATTCTCTTCCAACTCCAAAATATTAGAGATAAGTTAGAATGATCAAACTTAGTTTACTAGAAAACAGGTTTTTTCAAATGGAATAAGGTTTTAAAATTGAGGAAAGATGTCATTTGTATCTTTTAAATGTTTTCTTACACAATTTATTCTGCCTACTTGTAAAATAAGGTTTGTGTTATAACCGAGATGTTGTTTGGATGACTAAAGGGACAACCCAAGTGGTGTTAATATCGGAAGTCCTTACAGAGAATGAATTTGAAATATTGTACTGAAAGAAATACACCATAATTCAACAGAGGGAGAGATGAACTCAAACGAGTGTAAAATCCTGTGTGTAAAGATCTAAAGATGATAATTAATGAGTCATGTACTGAGAATAGAGAACCAGTTTCCCCACCTTATCTGTGAGCACGGTAGAAGATGATGACTTTGGGTAAAGGAGAAAAAATTCTCAAATGATCTTGAAGTTATAGTTGGGAAGTGTCTTAGTTATCTAGTGCTGCTATAACAGAAATAGCACAAGCGGATGGCTTTAACAAAGAGAAATATATTTTCTCACAGTCTAGCAGGTTAGAAGTCCAAATTCAGGGTGCCAGCTCGGGGGGAAGGCTTTCTCTCTCCGTCGGCTCTGAAAGAAGGTCCTCGTCATCAGTCTTCCCTTGGTCTAGGAGCTTCTCCATGCAGGAATCCCAGGTCCAAAGGACATGCTCTACTCCTGGCACTGCTTTCTTGGTGGTATGAGGTCCCCTTGTGTCTCCGTTTGCTTCTATTATATCTCAAGAGACTGGTTTAAGACACAACCTAATCTTATAGATTGAGTCCTGCCTCATCAACATAACTGCCTCTAATCCTGCCTCCTTAACATCACAGAGGTAGGATTTATAGTACAGAAAAATCTCATCAGATGACAATACTGGGAATCATGGCCTAGCCAAGTTGACAGACAGATATTTTGGGGGGGACCAATTCAATGCATGACAGGAAGTGAAGCTTGTATGGGTGATTGAGGATAGAAATGTTTTTCTATCTTGTTAGTTAAGTCTACATTTCTCCGTTTCTAACCATTTCTCCCTATGAATATTGGAAAATTTTCTGATTTTAATCCTAAACAATGATCTGTTTATACTGCTAACTTTCCTAAGCATTATACAATGTTAGGCACCCCACAAACTTATATATGAGAAATCAATACTGCACAGTCAATACTGCAAATCAATTTCATCTTAAGGAGCCTGTTATGTAAGTGTTAGGCATTTGTAAATTGGAAAATAAATTATTATGGTTTCTGGGAATATGCTAGACTACATACCCGGACTGATGTTCCTGCTAAAAAGATAGAATATATTAAATTTTTATTTTAATGCATTGATGACCTGGGAAGTTGGTAAGGAATACTCATGGACCAAAAAGTAAGTGAAGGCAGGAACCCTGAGGGGTAAGCAGAAGGCTGAAGTCAACTTTCACCAAGAGGGTATCTGAAGCTTCAGTTTTTCTGCCTTGGAGAATTCAGGGGAAAAGACGAGGAGCATAATATGAAATAAAATTCAGGTATAAGCTGTTTACAAAAGACTCATCTAAAAACTAAAGATTCTAAGTATACTAAAGATTCAAAATAACAAGATAGAAAAAGATATATCAAGCAAATACTACTACTTAAAAAAAAAAAATGGTGGTGTACCTCTATAAATATCAGGGGAAAACTACTTTACAACAGAAGTATAACTAGAGGCAGATCAATATCTGGTACTGACAAAGTCAGGATGCAGGGATACAGGCACTCTTGTACATCACTGGGAAAAGAGTGAATTGACACTCCCTTTCAGGAAAATCTATTAAATATGAGATTATATAAAATAAGTATATGTTTCAATCCAGCATACCCACTTTTTATGATCCTTTCCGTCCTTTCTTTCTTATAATTTGGAGACATGATTTTGATGAGATTAAGATATCAGACTGATTTACAGTCTGTAAATATAAAAGTTGTAAATCCTTATATGTTAAAATGAAAAATATTGATATATGGTTAAATGGAAGAGAAGTCAATAATAAATATAAATGAAGTTGTAGAGTGAAAATGTGACCATTTTAACCAGCCTTGTGTTTGACAGTAGTGTTCAGATAGAAAACACTTTCATAACTATTTGGAGTGTCCCCTTACAGTTTGAGATGGAATTTAAAAAAAAAAAAACCACCCAGAAACTTTCCTCAGAAAATCAGGACTCCTTGTAGTAGTTCCTGGTCAGGCCTGCTTCTCTGGAACCTCATATAGGCCCAAAGGGTACAGCAACAAATGAAATATAGAAGTATGTACATGAAATAGGGCAAGAAGTTCCTACTACGGAACTCAAAGCTAAAGGGTAGTAAGCTGTTGGTTCTGGGCTTTACTGATGTGGAAGAGTTCTAATTCTGTGTGGGCTGCTGAGACCACAAAATTCTCAGTGGGCCTCTGTGGGGAACAAGGGAGGTACACAGAAATTGTGTTTGCTCACTCCATCATATATTCATGATCTTGTGCATAATTTTTTCACAAGGTGTTTGTTCATTTGGGGTAAAAGGAAGTAAAACTAACTTTAGCTAAGTCTAAGTTGTTATTCTCACCAGTCCTCAAACTTGGCTTGGTGTTGGTTGTCTGGCATCCACCATAAAGTTTTTGAAACACCACACTAATAAGTACAACACGTTTATTTTTTTAAAAACTATTTATTCATCAAACATTTGTGACATAGCAATTCTCATTTTCTAAGCAATAAAATTGCAACTTTCTACTCATTTCTTAAGAATCCTAAAAATGACAAAAGTAATCAATATTGTATTTAAGTAAGGAAGAGAATTAAAAACTTGAAACTTTATAGTAGATGAATTACTGCACAAAAGAAAGAACCCAGTGTATTTATGGAAACATTGATGACACAATTCTACCAAAACTCATACACATTTTACTCTTTAATTTACATATCATCAGGTGGAAAAAAATAGTATTCTTTACTCTTTCAATTTCCTTATGCTAAAGTACATGTAACTTCAGAGGGATATCACTTAGGTCTTATAAAGACCAAGATAGGTCCATTACCAAGTCAAATCTAGAGTCAAAGATGCTTCAAAGATTCCAAGAAATGATTCAAGAACAAACTTAAAATGTGAATTGAGTTACACCCATGGTCCATCTAAACTGTATCGTGTCTCTGACTATGGCAGCAGAGAAACGTCTATGGAAGCTATAGCTGATTTTCATTATGTCATGTCATCCCAAAAATGTATTAGATAACACTCCCCTACACACACACACCCCAACACACACACACACACCTCGACATCCCCAGCTTTCCTTAACAGCCTGGATAAGTCAGTCACCTATATACTGATTCAAGTCTTTTATCTTTCTAAAACTTATTTACGTTTTCATACTGATCCAAATGTGGGATCATGTGTTTGTTAAGTTTCCTACTGTCTGGGTAGTATTTTCTTTATTTGTCCCAAACTACCTTTTCAAACAATTAAGAGAAGCATCCAGCAGGGTATTTGAGAGATTAAACTATTCCCTGAATATTAAAATATGAAGAAATTCCAAAACTGAGTTACAAAATATAGACAGATTAAAAATATTTACATTAAAACATGATTTTACTGAAAACATCCTATGTAATCTACTTCTGCAACTTTCAAGAGATTTGTTAAAAATGGTATTAGTGCATAGGTTAAAGTTGTATGGTGAGTATCTTCTTTCTCTCCTGTACCTCTGTGACTGCAAAGTCAACTTCGTTTGGAGATAACCCCAAAAGTCTATCCTTGAGGATCTTCATGAGTGTGAGGTTCAAGCTAAAAGTCCCTTCTGGCTTTCTTGATAAACTCTGACATCTAGTTTCAAATAATCTGAGATTTGGTGACAAAGTCTCTGGCTTTCTGGTCTTTATCCTTCATAATTTGTATCGGATACTCCATTAATGGTAAAAATTAAATGTTTAATTATTCAGTTCAGGCTGAATTGAAGGTTGGAGAGAGTGATGGGATGGAAGGATGCATATGAAACAGATTTTTTTAATAGACTGGCTATTTTTTGCTGGAAGTAAAACTGGTTGGGTAAACTTCAGGATACTAAGCAATGTTAAAAAAAAAATTAAAGAAGCAAAATAGTCGTATAGTGTGAAACAATGTAGAAGGCCTGTGTTGAGGCCAAACTATATGTGTGTGTGTGTCTGCGTATCCACATATACCCATTATTCAGGATGTTTACTTTTAAATCATCATAGTCTATTGAACTGGCCTTCCCCTACCCTTACATCGTATATCTGTCTGTCCCTGTGCTGTCTGATTTCTTCAGGCTTCTTACTGGTTAGACAAAGTATCCAGAACTCTGACTTGAACTTTGCTGGCATTATTTGTTCTGTTTGACTTCATGTAGACAGAGCCTGTGTCTGATGTACTCTCTAGCGACCATTTAAACATTAACCAGTAGCCAGGTCTTCAGAGTGTTAAGATTCTTCTCTAGCCACTTAATGTTGTTGGTTATGGTTTCCAGAACAATCTGAAAAATATCCAGGTGTGATCCTTGGGCCTTAAGGGATTGAAAGAACAGTTTCACCTGAAAAAATACACCAAAAAAAAAAAAAAAAGAAATTACTGGCATGGTTCATAAAACACTTTCTTTTCCAAAGAGTTTCGAAACAGCTTGCAAATTATACACACACAGGTGCAAGCACTTCTCTGCCAATTTCTGAAATATTTTTTCTTTCCTTTTTTTTCATAATTATTATCTCATTTTATCTTCAAACAATAAAGTAAGAGAGGAATTATAAATTCTCATTTTACAAGTGAGCACACTGTGGGCAGAAAAGTTAAATGATTTACCCAAGTCATAGAGTAAGTGGTGAGCTGGGATTTGAGTCCTAGAATTCTAAATCTGTTTAAAGGATAAATGAATTAAAGGCATACCATGGAAAGAAGCTGTAAAACACTAGAATGCTTAAAAAAGGAGAAAACCCCTATAATTACTAACATAGTAGTTTTATTAAAAAGACTAATAACTATAGTTCCAAATTTCAGTGCAATCACTCTTACTTCATGATACAATATGAACAAAATAATATAAAAGGACTATTATCTCTCAAGTACATTTTCATTTTGAATGCTATGAACATATGCATTTTAAGAGTCAGGTTCTAGCCTTGTACCTGCCGTTTACTTGCTGTGTGATATTGGACAAGCCACTTCTTTTTTCTTTAATAAAACAAGAACTTCAAACCAGATGTCATCTAAGTTTACTTTCAATTCTACAACTGTAAGATTTATTTTTAAATTGTTACCAACAGAAAGTCACAAACCTCTTGCAACTCATCCTTGGAAGAAAAGTGAGACGTTGTGCCAGAGATAATCACTCTCATCGCAAATGAACCCAAGTCAAATCTGAAAATAAAAGAGTCCCACAGACTTAAGAAATAGAAATACTGGCTTTATGTTTATCATATTATATATTACATTTTAAATATATAGTACTGGTAACTATATAATAAGCTTGCATGCTATAATAAATGCTACTAACTACTGTTACAGTGACATTTATATTTATCCAACACAATTGCAAAGCTATGACAGTTATTAAATTTGATAATAAAATAAAAATACAGATAAAGATTTTGGGACATATGGCTAGCTTATTCAGTTGTTTAAAGCAGTGTTTTCTACTTTTTTTTTATTATGCACCTCTATCAGTAAAGATTTTTTTGGCAAGACCTCCCCAATATATATATCTTTACTTAAAAATTATATTCATATATCACTAACGTGTTATAGATACAAAATTTTTTAAGGCACGGGATAAG